CCTCGGAGGGACACAGGCTGCAGCACAGATGCTGCCCGACACCCACTCCCCATGCCACCATCCAGCCCTGCCTCGAAACTTTTGGGACTGTTTAGTATGAGGAAGAGGAGGCTTAGGGGAGACCTCATCACTCTCTACAACTTTGTGAAAGGACACTGTAGAGAGGTTGGTGCTGGTCTCTTCTCACAGGTAATTAGTGACAGAACGAGAGGGAATGTCTTCAAGCTCCAACAGGGTAGGTTTAGATTGAACATTAGGAAAGAATTTTTCACCGAAAGAGTGGTCGGGCATTGGAACAGGCTGCCCAGGGAGGGGGTGGAGTCACCATCCCTGGCTGTGTTTAAGGGCCATTTAGATGCAGTGCTGAGGGACATGGTGTAGGGGAGGACTTTGTAGAGTAGGGGAGATGGTTGGACTCGATGATCCCAAGGGTCTCTTCCAACCTAGACGATTCTATGATTCTATGATTCTATGAAACCCGTCCCCAAGGACCACCCAAGGATGAGGGCTACCAACGAAGGAGCCCACAAGCCCTGGGGCAACTGGAGTGACTTGCCTGATGTCGTAGCCGTACATGTCCTTCTCCGGCCGCCCGTGGATGATCCAGTGAGCCAGCTCCCTCCCGCAGCCACCTCCCAGCATCATCCCTGGAGGGGGAAGAGATGAGGAGCCAGATGAGGCCAACAGAGCGGGCTGTGGGAGCAGGCTCTGCCCGGGATATGCTGCCCACACTGGGATGCCCGAGGTGTGATCCCTTCAGGTCTCTCTTACCAGCGCTGTTGAAGCCACAGCCAAGGAAGAAGCCTCGGACCTCTGGGGCTTCCCCCATGAGAGGCTTGTGGTCGGCAGTGAACGACTCTGCAAGACAGAAAGAGGAATGTGACGGCGAGACCAGGATGGGCGTTTTGAGGATACACACACTTCAGGAGCAGATTCCTACAGCTTCCCATGCTGGCCTTGGCCTTCTACTGCTTCTACTGGGGCGAGAGCTGGAGGACACTGAGGACTTCCCAGCATCTCAGCTTGGACATCCCCACCAGCGTGGCTCCAGCAGCACCCAGGCAGTGGAGACCAAACGGTTGCCCCAAAACTGGGATGCCCAGCATCACTCAGGGGTCTTGTGCAGCCTCCTGAAGCAAATATCCATACATATATATGCATATATTTGCCTCAGAAGCTTGCATGAGCATGCATGCACACACACATGTATATATACACATCACACTGCTGGTGGCAGAGGCAGGTGCTGGTGGCACAAAGCTCCTTTGCAGCTCCACACCATGCACAGCCTGTCCCTGCACTGTCCAGACCCTGGGCTGGGGGTAACCGTGTCCTCCACCCCCCCAGGGGGCTCGGCAGTGCCAGCATTGCTGGGGGGAGGACCTCAGTGTTAGGGTTTAGGCTGAACATTGGTGAAGCAGAACGAATCCCCAACCAGAAGGTGCAGAAGGTGCTGTGGTGGCAGAAGCAGCCTCTTGCTTTCTCCCAGTCCCTCACTCAGGGGGGCTGGCACCGACCCGTTCAACGCCATCGGGGCCATATTTCATTATGATGACTATTTTTCACCTTCATCGATTTCCATTGGGAAATGTCATCAGTTTAAGCTACTTTATTCAGCTGAGGGATTGCTGCTGATGTTGCCCAAAGCTCCTGTGCTGATGATGTCTCACGCTGCCAGCTCCTGCCCCCCACAGGGTTATCAACCACGGGTCCCCGTCCAAATCCCCGCTAGGAAGGACAGAGAACACCCTGACAGAGGTGTGCAACCCTCCTCCCTCATTTATGGTGGTTTCTCCATCCGTGTGAAAGCAGAGAGGGGAGGCAGAGTTCAGTCTGCTCCTTCCCCCCCCAGCAATGCCCACCTTGTTTCCCACCATCTCCATGCCCAGGAGAAGCCAAGAGCGGAGCCAGAAGAACATTTCCACTTTCACCAAAGCAGTTTCTCCCGTGCCAATATCCCCATCCACATACGCCAGGCTACAAATTCATTGAATTACTGCAGAAACACCCAAATCTCCTCCCTGTCACCAGTGGTGCACACCTACCCTCATGGCTTTGCACTGGGACAGATGCTGAGTGCTCACAGGGGACCTTGGCCCGCTCAGCTCCAAGGCTGGATCAGCAGCCAGGGCAGAAAGAGCTTAAATCACTCCAATTCGGGGCTGCTTTCACCCCCTTTCCCTGGAGCACAGCGTGGTAGCTGCTCTGGTGGTGAAATATTGACTGCGCAGCAGAAAGGACAAGTGTTTGGTGTTTGCTTCAGCCCAGTGCCGCTCAGCCATCACCAGCAAACCAGGTGCTGGTTTAAATCAAAAACTAGAAAAGGAGGAGGCACTGACCCTTTGGAAATTATATTTCTGTACTACAAATACTCGACATATATCCATAAGGAGTCAGCTCCCCTCCGGAGGCCACCAGCTCTGCTTACACCATGGTTTCACCAAACCCCTCATACCCCAGGGCCGATGCCTCCACCTTGTACATGTCATGTTTTATCTGCCGCGGGGCAGGAGATGTGCCCTACTTTCCCCTTGTACAGCAGCTCCCTCCCTCCCCCAGGGCCTTGAGGGTTTCCCTTTAAGTGCTTCAGCAAAAAAGGAATTTTTTATATATATATTATTTTTTTTTTCTTTATCATGCGGTGGATTTCAAGGCCAAACCAAGTGTGCAGGGCTCGGGTTCAAGGGCTGGCATCACCTCCAGCTGCCACTGCATGGATTTCAAGGTCAAACCAAGTGTGCAGGGCTCGGGTTTGAGGGCTGGCATCACCTCCAGCTGCCACTGCAGTGATGCTACGGCCTTTAACTGCCTGGGATGGAAAACTGGGCAAATCTAATATCAGAAGCAAGTCGTAAAAATAAAAATATAAGATCACGCTTGGTAAAACAGTGGCCGCTGCTTGAAAAAAAGCCTGCCCCTTCATTCCCCAGTCCACAGCCCAGAAGCAAGTCGTAAAAATAAAAATATAAGATCACGCTTGGTAAAACAGTGGCCGCTGCTTGAAAAAAAGCCTGCCCCTTCATTCCCCAGTCCAGTGGCCACAACATCGTCTGTAACTCTGTGCCAGTCACTCCAATGCTTTTGGACCAAGGCAATAAGCTTCCCAGATATTTCTCCAGCGAGGCCAAGCCTGGGATGCCACCCCTTGGAAGATGACACCATTGCAGCCAGACGGCAGCTGCTTTCTCTGTGCTCAGAGAGGTTTTCTCTCTCCCTGGGTTATGAAGTTTCCCCTTGCCTCCACTGAGGTCCTTGGAGGGACACAGCCACCCCGGTGCCACCGCTGTCACATTACCTGGCCCGCAGACGGTGGATTTAATGCCCGTTTTCTCCAGCACCGGCACCCTGTTCACAGCACCTTCGATGTGTTGTGTGAAAACATCCCAGTCCAGATCAAAGAGACCGAAAGCAAATTTTTCAGACACCTGAAGATAGGAGACAGGAATCAGGACACAAAACAGAGGATAGCTGAGGGTGTAAGAACTTCTCAGCTCTGGCAGCCTCAGAGGCCGTAGAAAATTGAGGCTGCTTTGCAGACTTTGGTTTCTTTGGGTTTTCAAGAACAGCCCAGCTGAGCCAAAGGTCTGGGACAGAGACACGTGGACAAAGGGATGATGTAGAAGGGGAGGGACTGCATGATGACCTCTAAATCCCCCCAGCCCAGCCTTTTCATCTCATTCCTGCTGCCTCTGCATCTCCTATCTGTGCCACAGACAGACCCAAAGGGAAGATGCTGCCCTGTGCTTCCCCGCCGGCCGCACGGAGGTTGGTACCCGCAGGATGCGGGGGCTGAGGCGCTCCCGCCTGCGCCCACCCCTCCGAGATGGATTCCCTGGAAACCTGCCTCGTTCCCCCAGGAAACCTCCCAGCATGGCTCACCTCCTCCCAGAAGATGGGGTTTGACTCATATCCGCCCACGGAAAGGGCATCGCCTTGGAGACGGAGATAGACCGAGGCGTCGTGATCGCGAACGTTCGGCATGTTCTGAAAAACGGGGAGGGGGAGCGGAGGGGTGAGAGGGGGCCAAGAGCTGCAGAGAGACCCCAACATCGCCCCAGCATCATCCCAGTGATGAGTGGGATGAGCTGGGAGTCTGGGGCAGAGGGTCAGTGCCCGCAGCAGTGACCCACTGAGGATGGGAGCAGCAGTGTCTCCGTGGATGTCCCCACAGACCCAAAATCTGGGCGCCCACCTTGCCCCAAGGGGAGGGCACCCCACTCAGCTCCACCAAACCCAGCCAAACCACGGGCAAAGAGGCAGCTTCACCACGCCTGAGCCCAGGCACCCAAGCTGGAAGCCAAACCCTACACAAATCCTGCCTAATTAGCAGCTGACGAACTCCAGGTTGGCAGGCAGGAGCTGTACTGGGAGGGCATTTGCACTGGCATCAGGGGGAGAGCAGTCTCAGCTCTCTGGTGGCACCAGCAGCACCAGGGATGCTCCAGGGAGTGGGAGCAGCTGCTGTGGTTGGTCCCAGCTTGGGAAGCATCCCTCCTCCACCACCCACCTCCACAGTGGGATGCAGCAGCCCAACAGGCAGGCAGCAGCGCGCAAAGAATGAGGGATTTGTTCTTATCAATAATGGATAGAGAAACATTTAGACAGCACGGCAGCATTGGTGTAGGGCCTGCTGCAATTCGTGTCGGCAAGCAGGATTAAGCAGGTTGAGCAGAAGGCAGAGGGGTCTGCAAGCTGCAGCCTCCTCTCTGAAAAGTCTCTTTCTCGTCGCGTTTGGGAGAAAGAGACCCACTCAGGGCACAGTGGAGTTACTGGGATGTAAATGGAATCATTGACACCAGCACTTCTTAAAATGAGACACCCCGGACTGAGAAGTCTGACACAGGCTGTGTCAGTGGGAATGGAAACTACATAATGTCACCCCCAGAGCCCCGGTGCCTGAGTGAAGGAAGTTCTCCTTCGACTCCTGAACAATCCTCTGCAGCCGGACGGCAGGAACAGACTTGTTGGGAGAGTTTAGAAACGCTCAGGGAGCTCCACCTCTGCCTGCCAGCCACGGGGGCTTGTTCAGAAAGTGCTCGGTGTCTTTATGAACGCTGCTATCAGACACCAAACACAGCAGAAACCCTATAATAATTCTACTGAGATAAAAAATAAAATTAAGAAAATTATCCTGCTTGTCATAACATTGTTAAATATTAAATATGACTCTATTAAAGGTAGTCTGATAGTCCTTGTAGGAGGAGAAGTGCTGGGTGTGCACCTCCCCAGGTGCAGAGCTTGACCCAGCAGCACACGCTGAAGGTAGGAATATGATGGGGGGGTTCCCTAGGTCTGGGGCTGCAGGAGGGGGTCTGTCCTGTCTCACCCTGCTGTGTGCAGGGGGGCACAGGAGCCGATCTGGAGCTGCAGAGGACTCACCTGGATGCCCTCGATGCGCTCGGTCACCACGTAGGCATGATGCATCCCCACCAGTGGCACATGGACACCGGCCAGTTGGCCCAGGGCTCGTGCCCACACGCCTGCAGAGAGAGCAGCCCCATGCTGAGCACCCCAGAGACCTGCTGTGGTCCGGGGGTTACAGCCAGATGGGGGGGACAAGAGCTGACGCAGACCCTCCATCCGGCTCATGGGATGCAAAGCCACCTCCTGTGGTCACCCACCCGGTCCCCCACCTTCCCCCCTGCGCCCCACACCTGCACAGTTCACCACGCAGGGAGTCTGGATGGTCCCGTGGGCCGTCTCCACCGCGTACACCCTCTTCACCCCAAAATCATCAGTTTTGACCTGGATGCCGGTGACCGGGCAGTTCTCGATGATCTGGTGGCAGAGGAAGGGCAGCAGAGTCAGGGCAGGGGCACAAGGGCAGGGGGACAACCTGGCTCGCCCCACATAGACCCCCCCAAAACTGGGATAGGTGAATCCAAGCAGCCATCTGGTACTGGCCATCTCCTTTTCCCAACAACTATTACTGTTACTGCTGGTAACAACGGTTTAAGCCTTAATTGCAGGTTAAACCACTGCTCTGTGCCCCACCGCCGCAGGGGGTGTGTGTTATTTACATGCACACAAGCAAAGACACACATCAAGGTTGGGCTGGTAGTTCCAGCCTCAAGGAATGGATTGTTACCTGACCCTAAAACCTCTGCTCTCCCAAGGAACCTGCCTTGGCACTGCCTCGACTTGTTCCTAAAGGTCTTTTTTTCACCCTGTATTTTCCCTGGATCTCATGGTTCCTGCCAGCTTTGTTGCTGTGACCCAAACAGCGAAGCCAAAGAGGACAACACCCTTCTTGGGCAAAAACCTGACGCTGCAGGAGCAGTGGGAAAGGAGGAGATGGAGAAAGCAGAAGAGGAAATCTCCTCCCAGGGTCAAGAGGTGTTAACGAGTAATTACTAATTAGGAACTACCGTAGCGCCTCTGGCAGTTGCTGCTCTGGCAAGAGTCGAGCAGGTACCAGCTGGGTCCATGGTGCCATCCTTGGGGACGTACAGGGTGCCGTATAGGTCATCGATGTTCATCAGGGGGTACAGGTCCTTGGTCTGAGATGGGGTCAGGACATAGGACTCCACGCCGTACACCTTCCCCAGCTGCCAAAGGGACAAGAAAACCAGGAGCTCAAGTAGGCAACAAAAGCTTTGCTCAGCCCTGACTACTGGAGGAGGAGGAGACCCCCAGGACACGTTTAGCTCCTAGACAAGCCCAAATTCCAGAGTGGGGTGGGATGGTCTGCAGAGATTTCAAGGAATATGGTCTCATATTCCCAAGCAAGCTGCCTGAGCAGCTGGAAAATGATGTTACTGCTATCTGAAAGGGAAAAAAATCCACAGTTGGCTTTAATTTTGCCTTGATGATCTTTGAGGTCCCTTCCAACCTGAACCATTTGATGACTGCTATGATTTTGCCTACTTTGCCAGCATTTTGCCTGATTTCAGCAGAATCCAGGAGGCTGCCCTGGAAGCATAACCCAGGCCACTCACAGCTCTCCAGGTGGGACAGCAGGGAGGGATGGGCCATTCGGACCCCCGGGGGGCTCCACAACCCTGGGACCCCCAACCTTGCTCCCATGGGCAGGAGATAAATCCCACCTCCCGCGTCCCAGCTGCCCAGAGGACACACCAAGGGGCTTCTCCCTACCGACATGAGCCTCTTGTACTCGTCGAGGCGCTGCTTGTTGGAGGCGATGAAGAGCCCCCCGTTCTCCACCCAACCCGTGTGGAGCCCCGTCTCCTCCGGCAGGTCACGGCTGACCACGTCCCGCGTGTGGGCCAGCAGCTCCACCTCCACGTCGCTGGGACGCAGCTGCCACAGCAAACCTGGCAGGGGGGGACACAGACAGACACAGCCCAGGGGTGGGACAGGGGGCTCCGACACCCCTCCATCACCCAGAGCAGGAGGCAGAGGAGACCCGCCCCCCCCATGTCCCCACGCGTGGCGTTGGGTCCCCCTGTCCGGGCTCTTGCTCCATCTCGTGGTGACGTGGGAGTGCTACAAAATCTCGATTTTCCATTTTCCTTGGGCATTGAATGAATGGGGAAAATAGGATTTCTGGAGCAAACTACCCCAAAAAGAGACAAAACACACCCCCACCCCCACCCCAGAGCTTATTGAATTTACCTCGTCTAGCTCCTCCCTCCCTGCCAAAGAAAATTGGTTTGAAGAAGGTAAAAAAAGAAAAAAAGTGTTGAAATAAAATCTTTCATTTCCCCATGGTCATATAAATTAAAAAAAAAAAAAAAGAAAATTTGGGGGATGTTTTCTTAACAAAATGTTATACATCACAAGGAAAAAATAGAAATTCCCCACATTTAAAGCCAAAACTCTCCAACACACGCAGAGCCAGCCTGTGCAACCACACACTCCACGGACACCAGCACATCCCAAGCCATGGGCATCCCCGTGTCCCCCCCCCGGAGACCCCCGCGCTGTGCCCACCCCCTCACCAGCCGTGTGCCAGGTGGTGCCCGAGGTCAGGCGGTCCCTCTCCAGCAGCACGACGTTGGTGATGCCCTGCTTGGCCAAGTGGTAGGTGGTCTGGCAGCCCAGGCTGCCCCCCCCGACCACCACCACCTCAGCTGAGGACGGGGGGGGCCGGCTGGGCTCCCTGCTCCCGGAGTCTTCCTCCTTCAGTGTCTTCTGGTATGGGACGCTCTTCTTCGCCGTGGGGCCCGTGGCGCTGCTGAAGGACCGGGGGCTTCTCCAGGGGGCTGGCAGGCAACGGGGGGCGGCCGCCCTCAAAGCACAGCTCACGTAGGACATCTCCACCTGCAAATCCCCCCAAAAACACCTCATTGGCAAAGGGTAGGGGACCCCCGACCAGCCTGGTTGCTCCCCACCGTGTGGGTGGGAGCAGCATCTCTGGGTACAAGGGGCTGAGCAGCTCCTGGTGGCAGGATGGAGCCCCAGGGCACGTCCCAGAGGGGGGCTGCTGGGACCCCCTTCCAGCAGGGAACTGGGATCCCTGCTGCACGTGTGTGCTCTCCCAAACACCCTTGGAGGGGCCCCACTTAAAAAAGGGGCTTGGAAAGCCCAGGGCATGGCAATGTGCTCGCTCACGCCTGCAGAAACCACTCTTTTTTCTCGGGTTTTTCTTTTTTTTCCCCTTGGATTCAGGAGCTGTTTGGCCACAATGAAGGCACAAGGTTTGCTCCCTCTCTAGAGAGGGCAGTGCCATGGCTGCTGGTGGGGGACAGGGACAGATCCTGCCTGCAGACACCCCAACCCTGGGTGCAGGGCTCCTGGCCCCGGGGGGGGACATGGCTCGGGGTTCGCTCCAGCCGCATGATTTTGGCTGCACAAGTGGGGTCTCTCAGACCACTGCCACCCCCTCCCACACCAGCCATGGGGCTTGCCCCATAACTCATACCCCTACCAAGCCCACCGCTGGTTGCCTCCAAAGCACCCGTTGTCCCCTCGCTGTCTGTGTCTGTCCGTCCGTCCCCCCCCAGCCCCGACACAAACTCCCGCCGGGGAAATCCCGCGACACCCGCAGGGCTCCACTCACTCTTTCTGGGGCTGGCTTTCCCTCTTCAATGGACCAGGGGGGCCCCTGGCCTTCCTCCAATGCTCTCCTCCTCCTCCTCTTCCGTGCAGGGCTGTCCCCTGCACAAAAAAAAACATTAACCAGCTGGCGAGCGGAGCCAGCCCAGGCGGCTGGGAAATTGGGGGGGTCACCTCCCTCTTACCCCTTCTCCTGGCTCCACGGCGAAGAAGAAAAGTCAGGCAGAGCAAAGAAATTCAAAAGAGGGAAGGAAAATGCTGCTTTTCTTCCCGGCTCGGTGCCCAGCAGAGAACAAACAGCCCAAGTGGGGCCGGCGGGGACTCGCAGCCTCCCGGGCTCGCTCGGCGCTGGCTGGAGCCGTCAGCTGGATGCCAGAAAGCAAACACGGCGAGGAAAGGCACCATCTGACCCTCCTGCTGGAGTTCCCAGCAGTTACATTTTAAGAGACGAATTAAAATAAATTCACACGTTTCCTAAGCCAGAACCCGGGAGCTCAAAGCGAAGGCGGGAACACCAAAAAAATTTTAATTTAGAGGGGTTAGGGAAAATAAACTTTTGATTTAGATCTCCCAGGCTGGAGGTTTATTGTTCCTCCTGCTCAGGACTCACCCCTGAAATTAGGGCCTGTTTGGGCAGGACACACAAGCAACGTGTGCTCTTTAAAGGTGGCTCTGAAAGGGCCGATTCAGGGATGTCAGAGACGAAATTAGGGCCTGTTTGGGCAGGACACACAAGCAACGTGTGCTCTTTAAAGGTGGCTCTGAAGGGGCCGATTCAGGGATGTCAGAGACTGGGATGGAGTCGGGGTTTGGCCAGTGGTTGGTGGGGTCGGGGTCCGAGCAGCATCGGGGTCCCTGCACTGTCCCCCGGGCAGCATTGCCCGCCGGTGGCCCCGTGGAACTAGTGGGGACAGTGTTTTGGGGGGGCTTTTAGCATTCAACAGCACTCTGACCCTGGAAATTGCCCCCCTGCTGCTCCCCACACCTCTGCTCTTGGACATAACACACCATGGTACCCAGTTTGCACCCAAATTCCCCCAGTTTGGGAAGGGTTTGAACAGAAGCAGAGGGGTCTGCTTGTTCCAGCCCCTGTTTCAGGCAGCATTTCTCTCCTTCTCCCAAAGATAAAACCGGTTTCTAAGTTTTACAGAGAGTGCCCCAATTCCTCCAGACTTCTCCATGGACTAATTGCTCAAAATAACCACAGGGATGCAAACAAGTCTAAACTCCTGTTTGCAGTGGGGTGTTTCTGTTTGACAGGCCAGAACCATTTCATCAGCGTGTGCTAATTATAAATACGACCTTTGGGTTAGACCAGACCTAAAACAATACAAGACCAGGTATGCATCCAGCAGCCCGAGCCCTGCACCCAGCTCAGGATGGACAGCAGAGAAAGCGATGGTGACCTCAGGCCCTCCAAGCTCTGGGATGTGGCTCCAGAGAAGGAATGAGAGTGCTTATTTTTATTGATGGTCAGTTCAATATAGATGAAGCCTATGCCAGTTCGATTTTCTCTAGAATGAGTTATAAAATGAAGGAGTGTAGCGGTTCGCAAGCGCCAGCTGGAGTTTTCCAGGTCACAGAAAACATTAAGGCTAATGAAGAACGAATTAGCCAGGCGTGCTGCAAAACTGCAGCTGGTCATGGCGTGCAGGGGACTACGAGCCTGTGCCATCCTCATCCTCATCACCTCCAGAGCCCGGGCAGAGCCGGCTTCACCCTCCCCTGCACTTCAATCTGAATTTTTGGTCTTGGGAAATCATCGCCGGGGCGTGACCCCCCCCCATGGAAATCAGGCTCGATCCTGCACGATCCGGCTGGGCAGAGCTTTTTTTTTTTTTTTTTATCCCCGAGCTCTGCTCTTGGCAACCCCCTGCCTCAGTTTCCCCATCCTGCTTACGCAGCACTTTGGACCCTTGTTTTGGAGTCCACCCAAGGCTGGGCGGCACGGGAGCTGACGTGCCCGCTCGTGCCACGGCACCGGCCCAGGTGGCAGAGGGAGGTGGCCACACGCTGGCCGGCCACAGGCCACCGGGGCCACGGGGCGTGCTCAGGACAGGGACATCGTGGGGTGGTTGTCACACTCTGTGCCACGGAGCTGGACCTGCTGTTTGCAGAGGGCAGCCAGAAAATGCAACCCTCCCCTCCCCAGCACCGTGTTTGCTCAGCAGCAGGGAGATTGTGCCAGCAGCTGCTAGTGCTGAGGGGGGAAATAAATATATAATATAATAAATAAATAAAAAGAAAAGCTGTGTCTGCTGTGTCCCCCCTCCTGGGGCAGGCTGGGGTCCACACAGGGCTGGAGCCAGCTGTGCTAGCCATGGCTGGACATTTATTGTCCTGTTAATGCCCCTGGGAAGGCTGCTCCTGGTCTGGTTACAGTGAATAAATGGCCCATTTATCCCCAAAGCATCTGCCCCCATCAGTGCAAGCCCAGGGGGACGTTTGGCCACGGAACCGAGCAAAATTGCCTTCTCCAGACACCCACTTGGGTGAGGCTGCATCGCTGCCGGCTCCGACCACCCCCCGAGGGTTAGATGTCACCGAGGAGCCAGCCCCTGGGGGGGCAGGGACGTCCCCCGAGGGGTGCAAAGGAAGCAGATTTCTGCATTTACCTGCTCTTGAAGCCACCAGTCGGTTCCAGGCTCTGGTGCTGCAATTTTGCAGCCCAGCTGGGTCGTGGGCACCTGATGGAGATGCCCAACCTGATGCTCATCGCCGGCAGGAGAGCACCCAGGTACCAAAACCTGGTATTTCACACACGGTGCATATTGCAGAGCATCCTTGGGACAGAACAGCAACAACGGGGAAAGGGTTTCTCCCAGGTGGGTGTCATCACCTCGGCCAAGGCTAAATACCTGCCTGAGCAGCACTTTTCCAAATCAGCATCCAAAAGTTAGTGCCCAGCTCGTGTCCTGCTCCTGCGAGTAAAACACCTCTCTCATGGCTACAGCCCTGTTCAGCTGACCCTGTGAAAGCTGAAGTGAGAAGGAGAAAGCACTGGGGACTCCAAGAGCAGAAAAAAAATATACAAGATTATTAATTAAATGGCACAGCAGTTCAGTGGCACCTGGTCTACCTGCTCTGGGGTGAAACCTCCAGCAACTGTGCAACTTCTTTTATTGCTCTGGAAAAGGCTGCTGCACACAGGGCTGAGTGGGATTCTGGAATATGATACTCAGGAGTGACTAAAAGCCATGGAAAATCACACTCCTTCTCTCACCCCGCAGCGGTTCAGCTCGGGCAGGGAGAGGAGCCCCAGGAAAGCAACTGCACGAGAGCAGCTGCTCCAGGAACAAGGAGAAGGAGCTCGAGGGGTGAGTGTCGGCTTCAGCGGCGCCCAGTTGCCAAGAGCCATGTCTGGCACCTCGGGAGAGGTTTACTCTGAGTTTTGGAAGGGTACAGACACTTACAGTTCATGGCAGCAATAGGAAAGGATCCGTCCCTGTGAGCACGTGTCTCCCCTGGACTGGCCAAGCCACCCCTGTGGCCCCAGCACAGCCACGGGGGTTTGAGTGACAAGAACCCCCACATGAGCCCTCTGGCACAGGAAAAACCATGGCTGGAAAAAAAACCTATCAGCAAAATTACACTTTATTTTTTTTTTTTCCCTTGTGGAATTTACTTTGATGTATTGTAACTTAAAAAAAAGGTCTGGAAAAACCACATGCAAAAGGGTTTCTAAGTAGCAGCTAAAGTTTCTATTCCAGCATTACAAGCTATTCCAAATGATTTCCAAATTCCCAGCTAGAAACTATTCCATAAACAAACAGTTTTATCTTTAAACCCCCTCCGCCCTACCCCAGTTAGTGCAGTGCAAAGGAAAAACCCAAGGAATTTACATATTATTTTCCAACGTATCCCATTGCAGTTTTGAATGATCTGCGATGAACTAAAATATATATACAATTTTCTCGCCATCATAAAAAAACATTTCCCTTTCTTATTCACAGATATATATTGTGGCAAATGGCTGAATAATTACTTACAAACAAAACAATCTTTTTTTTAACAAGTTTCTTACAACAGTAAACACAAGAGGGAGAGCTCTCTGGAAGGAAGAAGGGGGATTTGGCAGGGTTGGGGGGGGGA